CACCTACATTGCATAGTTTTCCTAGAAAACGATACCGATGCCAAACTCTGCCCTTGGTTGTTCTTTGTTTGTTTGTCTGTTTCTTCTTTCAGTTTGAAAAGATAAATGATGATGGGTGGGTGTAGAAAATGCAGCATGGAGCCATGCCCAATGTAACATCAGAAACAGTTTCAACAAAGACGTGAAGTACGGCACAGCAAAGCTGAGGAACGATGGAGGGCCAACTGACGATTGTACTACTGTGTGCAGTAATACGGTATGAGTATATGACCGACCGGTTCACTGGGGGCACCACCATTACAATGTTCCCCTTCCCCATCCCCACTGATTCGGCTGTGAGTAGGGGTGCGCTTCGGTTAATCGAATCTGAAACCGAATTATTCTTATACTTTTAATCGGTTTCTATATTTTCGGATTAAAATTAAGGGTAAAATACAAAAACCTTTTTGACAATCATGAAAACCTTTTCTATAATTTCACTTTACCAAAAACTTCCTTTATATTTTAAAAAAGATCGATAAAAATCTTTGTTTAACGAATAAGACGAAAAACGTTAAACCCATATAATTTCTTTTCAAAATACCTATTTTATCCCTATGTGAATTATTGTCGGAGGAACGCCGAAAAGGAAATCAAAGATCGGCAACTTCTACATTCAATTCCCTTTTACAGGAAGTCGACGGACAACCCATCCAGATTCTCGTTACGATCTAAGCACAACCCATTCGAGGTTGAACAATGCTCCTAAGGTGAAATCATACAGTGCTCCAAAGCAAAGGCCAGAGCTGGGTCCCAGGAAGAAGCTATCGCCGCAGACGCTCTTAGTTGGAATCACGGGTGCAATGGACCCACCGGGGGTGCTATGTGCGGTGGAGAACCTACATTCGTCGCCGGTGGAGAACCTACATGGATGGGGAGAGGAGACCGTTTGATAAGTTGGGTCTTTGCCGCACTCCGACATTGAGGTGTTGGTTCTACGGGATCTTGACTTGGGTCTTACTGTATCGATTTCGACAATCTTTGGGCTCTCTTCGAAGGTGTTGATGGCAGGATCAATAGATGCTGATAGTCTCCGATTGTGAAAAGATGCAGTGTGCTCACCTCTTGTTTCGTCGAATCTTTCCTCAAAATGAGAAGACATGAGAATTGAGAAGAAATGCTTGCTCATGTACCAATTGTGCTAACAGTGTCGGACTCTGTTGTGGAGAGTACGAGCTTTCTGGGATCGGACGATGACCTGAGCTCTTATAAGAGCTTGCATACTGTGAAGAGTCGCTGCAGCCTGCTTACGAACGACATAACCTCTAACAAGTGCTTGTAACTTAACCAAACCCTTTAAAGCTCGAAGAGCCTTTCTTGCTTGAAACAGTTTCGAACAGAAACAAATGATGAACTCTGATGAAATCTAATTACTGAAGTAGGCTAGGAGAAAAATAACTAGAGAATTAGCCACGAGTGCTTTAACAGATTAAAGGAATGAAGATCAGTCGAATATGGTCGGATTAGTTGCGACCAAGTGAGCAAACTAAGGGAAAATGGCGGTTCCCGTTGGAGAAGGGTGTTGCTCAACCGTTGTGGTCCACCGTCGTACTCTTCCGAATCTCATTGCCAAGATCCGGAAGCTCATCAGGCAGTCCAAGGGCTCGCAGGACAAGATGATAGCGAAGGAGAACGCGACTTGGCTTGCCATCATTAACCAGGAAGAGGCGTTGTTCAGGAAGCTTCCACCCCGAGAGTTGCCCTCAACAGGGGTGGATCCGACCCGAGCCAAGCCAAATACTATCAGGCTCGAGAGTATTCTAGAAGATTTGAGTTCGAGCTTGGTTCTGAGTAAAAAATTCATAAGTTCGAGTTTAGTTCAGTTCGAGTTCGAGCTCGATTTTGAGAAAAATATTTTATAAAAATAAAAATTATATATAAAATAATTTTTATTTAATATTTAAAAAATTAAGAATTATAATATTTTTATTATATATATATATATAGATATAAATGTATTTGAGCCGGCTTGCGAGTCTCACGAGCCGAGTTCTAATAGGCTCGAGCTCGGCTCGTTTAATAATCGAGCCAATGAATTGGGCTCGAGCTTGGTTGAAACTGAGCCGAATCGAATTTTTCATGAGCCGGGCTCGAGCAGCTCGTGGAAAAATCGGCTTGTTGCCACCCTAGTCATCAACAGTGGGGAGTGGATCTTTTGCCATTAGTGACAACAATGAGTATGATGTTGAAGGGGTTGAGAATGATCCAAATGTTGAAGTACAAGAGTGCAAGCCTCACAATGTGAATATAATCAATCTGGGGATGGGGTCAGCCAAGGACAAACTTATGGTTCCCTTGCCGCTATGCATCGTGAGGAAGAAGATGAACAGTATTGGATTATGGAGTTGTTGAGAGAGGGTTATTTTAGTAAAAACATATGCACATTAATTGTAAAAGGGTAAAATAGGTATTTTGAAAAAATGATCACCTTTTTAATTCGTCTTATTCATTGACTGAAGGGAGGTTTTTGTCGATTTTTTTTTTAAAATTAACTATGTGTTCAATTCCCTTTACGTTTATTAAGTAAACGCTACCACATAGGCGCCCCATCATCAAAGGCCTCATTAATTGCATTTGTAGGTATCGGTGTTTGCAAAAGCAAACATCGATTTTTGTGCACCTCTCTCATTTAAGGAAGCTTCATTTTGGAGCTTCATGAAAGGGGGAGGCGTTTATTTGCATTTTGCTGATGTGGTGCCTAATGGCGCCTATGTGTCATAAACACCCTCATTAATTGTTTTTCTCGGTTTTGCAGTCACACAAGTACAATACGTATGCTCAATAAACGTAAACGAAACCAAACACCCTCTAAGTGTCTGTTTGGCATCGTTGCTGTTGCTCCAGAAAAAATGACGCTACATCAGCGCCATGTAGGAAAAAACGGTGCTCCAGGAAATAGCCATTTGTTTGGAATCATTTTTTCCATAGAAAAACGGTGCTCCAGGCCACTCCTTGGAAATCAGGAAGGCATGGCTTGGCAACGCCAAATTTGGCGTTTCCTGGAGCTGCAGCTCATTACTGCCAATAGGGCAGTAATGTGGCAGTGGATAATGGGTAGAAGTGAAGAAAACGTTCTATGGAGCATTGGCACCAAATAGAAAAAGTTGATGTATATATATATATATATATATATATATTTATTTATTTATATAATATATAAATAATATGTGATATATATTGAAAACATAGATAATATATAGATGAATATACTGATTAGTTCAATAATTTGATTTTCTCGATTCAATTCAGTTTTTTTTTTTTTTTCTTTTCTGTTTTTCGGTTTTTGATGTCTGTGTTTAGTGTCGAGGAGGGGCTCCTCGCTGATTCAGCAACAGTGATATTTATCTCATCGTCGGCCCAATACGAAAAACTACATGCCAATGAATTGCCAAGCCAGCCAGTAAAACCAAACGAACGTATAATATAAAGCAACAAAATAGTAAAATCAAAGGATTAAAATTGGCTTCCTTATTGTTAGGCTATTGGCTAGTCAAGACTACGAGCTTTAATTATGGCTGAATGGCAATTTAACCATCGGATTGGGAACCGTATGTTACTTTATTAATTTAATATGGAGACAAACAAAAAAAAGTAAAAAACCAAGGTTCACGGTTCAGCAGGTAGGGAATGTAATTATGGCTGTAGACTGTTTCTTTGTTAACTCAATCCCAACTACGGTCCCGCCGCATCCAAACAAGGCAGTTAGATCTGGAAAACAGGACAACGTTAGGTTAGGCTTCTTTAAATGTGGGCTATTGCTAATGGGCCCGAATTCATATCCCCTAAAGTCCAAAACAAAACAACGTAGACTTGAGATAGAAACAAAAAGTCCACCCCGGATATCAGGTCCCCAACCCAAAGAGCAAATCAGGCCCCCACAAGATTGCCCCCACAACGTCCCACTGGACCTGTGTGACGGGAGCAAACCAGCTATTCTCTCCTCCCCCACGGCCCCACCCCATCTGTAACGACGTGAACATGATAAGGAGCAGTCTCTACTGGTACGGTTTTTAACTTTTTTATTCCATTTATAAGTTACTTTTGGTTATGGGTTTCAGTTACCTTCACGGATAATCCGATAAGCTCGCCACGGAGAAAAAATCCATTACCCCCGTCGCTGGTCATCCATTCAGTCTTCGATTCATACGTTGACGTGGCAATTCAGAAGAGCCCATTAGATTAGCCACATCAACGTCAACTACCACAGAATCTCATCGTCGTCAAACTGAAACACCCTCCAAACCGGACCAACCGTGACCCCACAAAAAGCAAAATGCTCCACCCACTCGTCCTTTTCTCACTTGGCATAACTATTAATTAACAACGCTCAGAAAACGCTTCTTTTTCTTCTTTCCACCTTGGCAAATGGCAAATACGCTTTGGAGTTTGATGACACCAGCACAGTTCTCCACGTGGATCACACGGAAGTAAATAATGGAGGAACGGGAATCTCCTGTCAAGGTTTTCGATCTACTCTCTCTTTCTTTATTTCTTAAAAACAGGGTCTCGGGACTTCGAGAGTGGCGACGTAAATTCTGGGTCGAGAACCTTATATGAGAAAAAATATATACAGTACCTAGAATTGCTATAATGCTGGACTCTCCTCCTTTATTCATTAATCCTCTTCTCCCGTCACTTCAAACTATCCCCAATGTTTATAATCTGTTACTTTATATTGCTTATGAGAACTTCTAAAAGCTGAACGGGTAAAATCAAATCAATCAAATAAGTAAAAATAAATAAATAAATAAACTCAAGACCTAAAAAGGGAAAAAATAAATTATCCAAGAAAGGAAAATATGCTCTGCTACTGCTAGTATGCTCCTTTCTTTTCGTAAATCTGTTTCGAATATCGACCTTGATGGGTTGTTTAAGTACAGATGAATCTCAAAACAGATTACCCAATATCAAATTTTTTCATTTTTTAATCATCGAAAAAATTATTTTTTGTTTCTTTTGTTTTCAGCTCCGTCAGGACTCAGGACAAGAAGACCTCTATGCTTGCCTTCTTTGGAGATTTACAGACAGGGCAACAATCGAGGAAGACTTCGCAAGACTTGCACGAACAGAGATGCCTGCAGGGAAGGAAAAGAACGCACGACCCTCGAGAGTTACAGGCCTTGCAAGTCATCTTTTTCGTTTGTTCTTCCTCTTCAGTCCTGGACATGGCTTGTCCTGTCTCTTCATCTCTGTACCCTCCTGCTGCACCTCCTCTGTTGTTGTTGAATGCGTAAGAGAAATCGCAGCAAGAATCTGCATCTTCGGTTCCGGAGGAAAACCAGCAGACGTTCTCCCTTACCTGTTGAAGCGTTTTGGTGAGGGTTATAACCATGGCCTCTTTTTCTTTGGCGATTCTCTGCCATGCTTGATTTTCCATCTCTACTCTCTTCAGGCAACCTTCCAACTCCACTGTTTTCTTTGCCGCTTTTGCTATGTCCTCATCCTTCTGTCTCATTAAACTTATCGTTTTTGATTCGATTCTGCTGAGAAGGATCGCCAGTTGTTGCTTTGTTTGCTCTTGCAGAGCTGATCTCAGCCTCTCATTCTGTCTCCGTCCACAATAAAAATAAATTAATAAGAACTTCGATCATGGGGTTTCTTGATTAGAAACCATTGAATCCTACCCAAGAAACGAAATTCCATCCCAAAACTATGGACTTCCGAAGACGAAGAATATCTATCTATTAAGAAATCGGAGTTGTTTTAGTTTGTTACCTGTAACTCGATAAAACGATCTATGTCGTCTCTGTCTTCCTCAATCTGACAGGGTAAAGATTGAGGAAATGCCACTGAATGACAGACCACCGGACTATTATCAAAACCCAGATTCTGATTTTTATGTTGTTGCTGCTGCTGTTGCTGGAGATTGAAACAGACGTCGTAAAACCCACTGTTAGCATCCATCCAATCCTGTGGAACGCAAGAATAAAGGCCAGGACGCCCGAGACACTGAGCTTGAACGGCCATGACTAGAACCAAAATGCAAACGCAAAGAAAACCTCTCCGTCCGCGAAAGAAGAAAAAACGAGAAAGCTGGTTGTTAGGTTAGAAAGGGTTGAGTTTTAAAAAAGAATAGATATCGTTAGATCAGAAGAGGCGCGTGATTTCTATCTTCCGAGCTAAACTTAGCTTTCGTTTTCTTGTTTCCTCGCTTGCTTGGTCTTGGTTTGATGATCATCGCGAGAAGAAAGAAAAACGAACAACAATACAAAGGCGAAAGGGTGGCGGTCTTGTGGGACGGCTTGTATATATAAATGTGCAACAAGTAACCATTACCTTCATTGTTTCTATTGGCGGTAGTGTTCAAAAATTAGCCATCAAGAGAGGGTGAGGGGAAGAAGAAACAAAAACGCTCGGGATTCTGGAGGAGAAATAAATTTGGCCACCATTCTAGAATGCACAATCCTAATTCCTAAGTCCTTATCGAATTTGGATTTTGGCAAATGGAAGTGTGCCAAAACTGCACCCATCAAACTTGGGGGTTAAAAGAGGAGAGGTGAATAAATAAATAATGTCATGGTCCGATGGGGCGTTACGTACACATGCACAAATTGTGAAAAACATAAAAATAGTAAGAAGAACAAGAACCGAGGTCAGAGATTTCAGATAGGGTATTGTTGTGGAAAAAGTTCAATTCAATTGATGGTGATTAACGAGTCAGATTTGTCAGTTCAGTCCTTGGGAACAGCTGACCTCATTGTAACCTCAAACGAGATCCATGAATATCCCCACTTCACGAGGTGGGTCAATCTTTCTTTTCTTTTTAGGCTATTTTATGTTCAGAGTCAGAGCGGGACCTATGATGCATCAACTTCATCAGATCCTATTTAAACGGCAATTTAGTAGGGGTACCTCATTCTCGTTTTCTACTACGATGAGAACGGCTTCATTGTAGCACGTCTCTTTTGCTGTGATAAATTAATTACGTCTTTGCTATATATAAACCATGAAGGAAACACACGATAAATCACCGGAGAAAGTAAACGATACAGAGATAAAAGAGGAGGAATAGGGTACGGTAACAGCAATAGAAGATAGGTCTCCACGTGGAGGACATGCACTAAATGAATTGGGACCCTCTAAATCTCCAATGTGATAATTCGATGATCCCAAGTTTTGATTTGGGAAATTTTTGGATCAGTTGCATCTAATTCCGGGTCTCATCTCATGATCTCATCCTATCGAGTTCGAGGATGGGATGGCAGTACCGCACCATTGCTGTTAACCCATACCAATACCATACACCGTGCAAGACTGCAGAGCAGCAGAGGGATGGCCCTTACCTACAGTACACCAATACACAACAAAAGGGATTATTATTTATTCAATTATTAATCCTCTACGTTACTTGACACACGAGTGTCATATCCCAAAAAAGATTATTGGATCAGCGTGCTATATCGTATCATAATAATAATATAGGAATAACGTGGATTAAAAGATTAAACATGTGGCCAGTCCAGAGGCAGAGGGTAAAACCTACTCGGGTTTCGATCCGATAAATTATCATCATTAATTGACATAATAATCCTTAAATTTCATTAATGAGGGCAGCTCCCAGTTCCCCACCTTTTCATGTTCAGGTATGGGCGTTATATATATGGCTTTTCTTCTATTTGTGTGAAGCGGGAGCATCCGCTGGGCTGCCCGTAAAAAGAGGAGTAATCAGTAAACGAAGAATTTGTGGCTGTGCAGCCATTGAGAACTTCGCCTTCCTAAATAAAAGTCTAAGGTGGCATGGAACGTATGAAAAGCATACGCTAACAGACAAAATTGAAATGTCTTTCCATATAATGCATCAGGACTTTATGATATCTGTAGCATTAAGGAATACATGAGTTGTATTTTAGTTGTTAAACTTTCCTGCCCAAAACAAGTTCTGGTTAATTAACTAGGTATCGGTTTAATATGTTCTGACCCGACCCGGTCCAATAAGAGAGGATGGGAGATATTTTAATAGTTATACCTATGGTTGCACATTTAATAAAGAAGAAGGAGATGTGAAAAAAAGAAAATAATATTGGGATGGGTGGCCAACGGGCCAAGGCAATTAGCGGCATTAACCATCCATTATACACAAAAAGAGTAAAGAGATGCGGGTATGTTTTCATCTCAAATATCAGCCTTTATATTATTTAATTTGTTTCTTTTTGTGGACACGAAGGGCCTACTCCCAGTTTGCCACGTGGGTCCACATACTAAGCTAAAATTACAGAGGCCCACAAGAAGCAAGAATTTCTTTGTAAGCAGGCAGCTTTATTGGGAAGAAGATATGGAGTGCACATGCTTGGAGGATAATTAATTATAGGCCATTTGTTTGGACACTGTGGGTGGAAAAGCTGCTGTGTCTCTTTTTGGTAATTTCATATTACACATGCATTATATCAATTATACCACCCCTATTAATATTATTACCTCTGAAAACGTGGTCATTAACACACTTTCTCAATTAAAGTTATCCATCGAAATGAGTTAGTCTTACAAGTCATCTAGTACCATAATACATGAACTCCTTAGTCACGCTGAGGATTTATTTTTTTTCTATAAAATGGAAAGAGAATCAAGAGACACTGAGACAGGGATGAAACATTGAATTTGACAAAAGTCCAAAATGATTCTTTTTCCCAGAAATTAAGCTCAACTTTGGTGCAAGGAGTTGTTGCTTCTAGACAATATTAAATCCTAGAAGGACCCATTTTCCATTTGACCAAGGAATCTCTATGACTACAGCCTTCCAAGCCAAGGAGGAGGGGGAAAATAATTAATGCATCAAAATGGTTGAGTTCTAGATTTATTTGATTTGTCAATTAAGGAACCTCTGATTTCAAGCCTGACCTAAGACTCGTGGACACAGGAGTCAGGGCGCCCAGAAACAGAAAGCCCGGCCCATACATTGACATCCCAAAATCAACTTAAAGCCCTTTTTTCTTTTTATAATTTTTTATTTTCAGACTTTGACTGAATCCATAGAGATAATAACTAGGGCATGTGATGCCATCGACTTGTCTTTCCCCGCACACCTAAAACTCTAACAGGTCAATTTGCGTCATGACTGCAACTATTGTTTATTCTATCTCATTATTCCTCATTAGAACAGCTTTTCAAACATAAACCAGGCATGCATGGACAAGTTCATGCATCAGAAAGTGGATATTTGCCTATTTGGTTTACCAACTCTCTTGATCAGATAAAGACCAATTCCCAACTATTGTATGAATGTTAAATGCGCTGATCAAAGCAACTCGAGCCACATATTGTATAGGCCAAGCCAGACAGAGGTTTGTGTTGAACAAATGACATATTCACAAGCCTTATTATTCAGGCAGTATTTGGTTGCATTAAAATACATTTGCACTGATGCAAAGCTATGGAAGTACAAATTCTGAATTATTTTTGATAAGGGCGGATTTGCCCCTTCAGTGACATCGTGACATATGGCATCTTGGAACAGGTGCGTGCACCTAAACACTATCTAAGTGATGATTTAGAGTCCCAGGTGGCAGTTCATCCTTGCCCTGACTTGGTGACCTCGACCACAACTAGACCTGTTCATGGGTCGGGCCAGGCTTTCACTCTATATTAACAGATTTTTCTAAGGCCCGAGCCCGAGCCCGGCTCGACCATTGGGCCTACAACTTGGGCCTGAGCCCGACCCTCATAAAATGCCCGAGCCCGAAATTTAGCCCATGTTGTTACTACTGTTGAAGTGGCTGAATAGAGAGAGAGAGAGAGAGAGAGAGAGAGAGAGTGAGTGAGAGAGAAATTATAAAGAAAAAATAAAAAAATGTATATATTAAATTATAAATACATATTTCAATAAATATTATATTATTTATATATTTTGTATAATATATAATGTATTTTATAAAACATATAGTGTTGAGTCGGGCCGGGACGGGCTCAGGCTGGGTTTTTTCGACAAATCCCGAGCCCGGCCCGTAACACAGTCGGGCTTACTGTGTTAGGTTTGAGGTCAGGCCCGCGTGCCTAATTACATGACCAAGCCCAACCGGGGTGCGGGTCGGACCGGGTCGGGACATCGGGCTACTCGACCCATGAATAGGTCTAACCACAACTTAGGTCAGCTTACAGCACCTCACCCGAGGCCGACCTGTAGCACCTCGTCACTGGCTGAAGTGACCTCGATGTAAGAAGCGACCTCCCTCGGGGGCTTTCTGACCTGACCGAGGAACAGGCGGTGACCAGCAAGATGTGCTCGCTGACAAATTCGGCATGCATATACCGACACTCCTAGGTTTCTCGTAAGTTGGCCCACGTGTCGAATATTCCAAAGGATGGTCAATGTGCATGGCGATTACTTCCGAGGATTTCAGATCGGTTAGGCACGACCTCCTGGAAATCTTGGGTGTGGTGCGTGAGGCCCACACCAAACAATGCCTATACAAAGGCATCGACCCCAATGACACAGGAGAGGAACACGTGATTATTTGCTCACTAGCACTTTAGCATTCTAGCACTCAAGTATTCAGTTCTCATACATAATATAGTACTAAATTAAGCATCGGAGCGGCCTTGCCTGGTTAGCCACCCCGAGTTCTCTGATCCTCTATCTTGCAGCTTGGTCCATTTCGCCACGTGGCTAGGGTCCAGGTCATCTTCCAGCTAAGAGCTTCCAGATCGTGTACTATCAATTGGCGTCATCTGTGGGAAACGCTACAAGAAGCTAAGTTCTCACTTTCTAAAAAGCTAAGTCCTCATCTTCTAGAAAGCTAAGATCTTGCCTTTTAAAAATTTAAGTTCTCATTCTCTAATTTCCATTTTTTATGAACTAAAAAGCATTTTTGAGCAACACCAACATCCAGAACGAATTTCAATTACTAGGGGGCAAGAACATCTGTGATGAACCTTGAGAACTCCCCAGTGCCCTAGATAAATACACTACTACCGCATGTGAACGCCCCTCTCCTCGCGGTAGAGCCATCAACGGTTCCCGCTGGGATTGAAGCGTGACAGTTCTATGAGATGAAGCATGAATTTTCAGATCTGAGCATGGGGGAAGCCTGATGTAGGTAGCAGTAGAACGACCTCAACTCATCCTCAACAGTAGTCAGCCAAGACAAGGCCTCATTATCCCCATTTCGCGAGGTCACCTCTATGAGTCGAGCTCTTTGTGGCTCCCGCGGGAGTCGGCGGCCAACGGACTGCATGGACGCCCTTGCAGGTCAAGC